ACCAAGAACGATCTGACGAAAGGTAGCACAGCCACCCTGAGCTAGATTTGCATCGCTGAAAGGAAAGCTTTTGGAACATTATACCGATGGGATGGACAACGAGCTCCGAACCAGCGCCATCAATAACCGAACGAACAGGTAGATACAGAATGCTCATTGCATATGCAACGCCGTCGCTGCTTACCATGCCGTCTAGGTTGACCCCAATGAGCAATAATTCCCCGGGGATGCTGATGCTGCCTGGAAGCGCTGGCGACCAGTGATGGTGGCATTAACTCTAACGAAGCCATTTGCTCGCTTATCTAGGGCATTCGTATCCTCTAGCGTTGAGTTGGAGTGGCTGTTCTAATCCTGTACAGGCTGTGGCATTAGTAGAACGTATCAAATATCGATAATCGATGCTGACCTCGCTTGATGACTGATCAAACGAGAAGACATCAAATAACTTAAGATCGTTGTAGTCTCTCTGCGGCTAACACATCAGACCGATGAGTCACTACCTCTGAGTGGCCCTAGGTCAGAGCTCACCCCTGGCAGTCGGCGACAGGCAGCCCGTAGCTTTCATCAAATCTCACTTACATCGTCATATCATATCCTCTGAATTCTGATTCGACTTTATCCAGAACTAGCTGCGATGAAATATTTGGGATTGGAAGATATCCCATCGTCCCTCCATCATTTCATGTTTAGTCTAAGCTTTCAGCAGTCATACTTTCAACATTCACGGGTCGTCAGAATACCATGTATCTCAACGGATGGATCATGGAATCACGGGCAGACCACGGGTGCAATAACAAATTCAACCATCGCCGATTGGACGGCTTCCGTGAATGTCACGGAACGGCGCCGGATTCGAAGACGGCTGTCGCCAAGCTAAGTGTCGACCGAGGTCAATGCCACTTTCTGGTGGCAGAAGAGCACAAAACCCCCGTGGAGCCAGGGCATGCTGGTGGTATGCATAACCTGACAGGTGCACCTGTTGCATACCTCCAGATCTTTAACTCAAGGCATGAAGCTCTGCTGAAAGCGAGCGAGGCGCTCGAGGCAAATCATGCGTTGTATAGACTCAGACAAGTACTCACACAAAGCGTTCTGGAAAGCAACAGGGGTCAGGATGGGGAAACCATAGATGAAATCCAAAACTTAAATGTTCATTTTTCATAACTTTGCAACACGACTGCCTTCCTCGCAACCTTTGCCGTCGGTAAATGTCAACCGTCTCTGTGCCTTTTCGGAAGGAAGGCCTACCGTTTGTCTCAACTCTCAAGCGACCCGTGCGCTTTCAACAAAGTTTCACACACATTTATACATACATACATCCGCTGTAAGAGGTCTTTCAGCTTTAACCCTATTCCTGGCGGGCTCCGCCGGGACAAGAAACTGGCGGGGGGGGGCCGATTCGGCCCCCCCCTGAGATCTCGAGAACGAAGCAAGATAGCGACAAGCGGTAAACGGCATCGGATACGCACGGCCAAGATCTACAATTTTTACAAAGGTCATTTTCAGGTCAGGTCAAAGATGACGTCACAGGGGTCGAAAAAGTCAAAATGGCGGCGCTAGATATGGAGAGAGTTTTTCTCGAATAACTTTCGAATTAGTCAAGATAGGAACAAACTAAGGGCATCATCGTGATCCTCTCGTCAATCCGCATCGAATGATATATATGTTGACCTCGAAAGGTCAAGGTCAAAGGTTGACCTCAGGTCACGTGACCTCGAGGTCATCATGTATATCATTCGATGCGTCTTGACGAGCTGAACACAATGAGACCATCCACGCGTCTGTATCTTGTTCCTGTACGGAGTTATTGGCCAAAAACCTTTGGTGACCTTTGATGACGTCACATGACCTCACAGCTGCCCAACAGCAAAACAGACCTCAAGGTAGTGAAGGTTGATCGTATATGAAGTCATGTATGGTATATGGGGCCATTCCGACCCGTTTTAGTGGTAAAAACAGGGAGTTGATTTTCCCCCCATTGACTTATAATGGGGAGGTCGCGAAATTGACCTGACCTTAGGTCACCGATATCGAAATTCCGAGATATACAAATTGCACATACTGGTACCCTAACTAAACCCTGAAGAGAAGAAATTGATCGGTCAAAAACTCTAGCTCTGGCGTGATTGCAAACTTTTCTGAGGTAGGGTCACCAAACCGCCTCTGGTGACCTGACCTGAGGTCAGATCAACTCAAAATTTTCAGACATGTTGCGTAGAAGCCTTTTAGGAAAAGTCAGAAAATTTGAGCTTCCTAGCTCAACGCGTTTGGGAGAAATAACCAAAAAACCTCAGGGGGGGGGGGGGCTCCTGAGGCCCCCCCCCGCCAGGAATAGGGTTAAGATGTGAATGGATGCAACAGGTAGTGTCGGGAAATGTTGCGCCAGACACTTGCGCTAACTCTTCCTAACTTCAACTTTTGCACTCCTCTGCCACCACATAGAGTGGTGACTCAGATAACAAGGCGCCTGGTGATATAGCCTTCACTGAATCCGACGCCGGGGTGTTATTATACAATCGAAGGGTGTATATCCAATCGGCTGTGCTTGAATCCGCTTTTCCGGTCGGTCTATCCTTGGCTCCATGATTCTTCAATTGAAGGATAATCATATGTAGTACCTACCTCACTTGTTGAATATGACTGTACAAAACTTGAGGCTAACCCAGGCCCATGTCACTCCACTTTTGATGACATCATAAGGGGGCCTCAGGACAATTAATGGCGCGGTGCGCCACAATCGCTCCCAAGCTACTGGCCAACAGCTGCCATTTTTGAAAATATTATTTTGAAATAAAGTTTCAAGTAATGAAAATATTGTAATAAAGTTGTAACTTAAATCTATAACATATCTAAAAACTTATTGAAAAATGAATTATCCATAGTAAAAATATAAGCTCGATGCGTTTTTACGTTGCTTTCCTGCTGCTGCAGAGGGTTTTTAAATCGTCTGTATCTTCAAAACCGGCCATTTCTTAGCATATTGCTGCTCTTTTTTGTCGATGGAAAATTAGTTGGGTATTCCATTGACATCAACGGCTGAGCGGTATGTGTAGAGTGCCATCAATAATCTTCAAATGAAATAAGTCATTTTTACGTTGAAACGAATGGAGTACCCCTTGCGAGCATCAGGGGTGACGTCACTCAGGATCTGTCTCTGATTGGTCGGCGGGGGAGTGACTGTACCTTCTATAGATGGCCTTGGGCTAACCACTATTTACGACGGAACCTGAAGATGAGTTTCCTTTCCAATTATGAAATTAAAAAGTTGCTAAAAAAGAAACAGGGCTTTCTGGTCACTGGAACATACCATCCATAGCAAATTAATTGTCACAAGTTAATAAGGACTTAACCACATGAGAAATTATGTGATTTTAGATATACGAATAAGTCCAGTTTTTTTTATATCCATTGAACTATTTAGATTTAACCGAGACGAACCGAAATCAACACTTGTCAACACTTCTGCAAATTCCCTTGCGTAAAATATTGCTTGACCATACTGCGCACTTCATCTGTTTGACCAGGCATTATTTTTCTTACTGAACAAACAAAACGTAACATTTGTCAAATAAACGCAGCGGAACACAATTTCACATTCTCTGCTAGCAGCTTGTCAAACTAAGCCGCGGACTGGTTGACTGGTATTCTCGTTCGCAGTGTGTTGCTCGCCATTTGGCGCGGTCAGAGGTCGGACGAAGATGAAGCACCTTCAGTGACAGAGGCGATAGTGTGCCGCGGCCAGTGGCCGACTCAAACTGGATGCAGAAAACACTGCTCGATGGTGGAACTATATACCAACCAACAAGAAAGTTAAACATTGCTTAACTGATGTTTATTGTTACTTATTCATCATCAGTTACTTACCCATTTGTTACTAATGTGCCATAAATCGGCGATTAAGTGCTTACATATAAGCAAATTAAACAGAAATTTCTAAGTAAGAAGCTTCAAAGCTGATTACAGAAGGTGATATGCGGAATGCATTTAGATGATGTATTGAACAACAACAAAAAAGCAAAACTGATGACGTCAGAGTTTTCCGCCCCAGTGTTTGTGCTGTAACCAATAAGCATTCTAACATTCTATAGAAATATGAATGGACGTGAGAAATGTAAATTTCAGTAGCACCGGTCTACGAAACAACAGACCCGGCTTAGCGCCATGACAGAATGAACTTGATGCTGCACCAGATATCTCGACTGGTTGCTGAGATTTAACCAGATACTTGACCAGATGCCAGATGCTTAAACCGAATCCATTCAAATGAGCAGTGGAGGTCAATTTCACGTCAAAATCACGTCTTCCTGTCTAGCCACGATTTGATAATGAATTACGTTCTTGCGCGCACAATGGTGGACACTGAACAGCCTAGCACGAACGCCGCACGCATAGGCTGTACCGCATGACCCCGGAGTGCTGCGGTACAGCCTAACCTCCCGGCAGGCGGCAGTCTCGGACGGCGCGAGGTGGGATGGAATTTTGGGTGTGCGCGCACTTCACGGACGATTGTAAGATGGACAGCAAATGATGGGCGTGTCCATGGATGGATGATTCCAGACATTGAGAACCACTAAGCAATTTTCAATTGAGCATATGCAATACAAGAACTGAAGGAATGCGAGGTCAAGGTGGGCAAATACGAGTAAAGGAATACGAGGACAGAGAATAAGGCATTGAAAGAAATGGAATCAGCATCGATCAGAAGCAAAAAGTTCAGCCAACTTCCACAGCAAGTTGATGGAATTGTTCTGCGACATGTTTGCCTTCATTTAGAAGGTATACACTATACAGACGGGTGTAGCTTTTAGTGGTGTATTGTGGCTGGCATAAAGAAATGGATCGATGTAGGTAAGTGCCATTATTGCTTCTTTTTTATTTTATTTGCTGACTACGCTGAAAGCAGAATAGATCAGATCAGAGACCTTGAGACATCGACACCAACAGAAATTGTTTGTCCTGCAGCGGCCTGGATGGCCTCCCCGACCAGGGTAAGTACTCACTCAGCAGACCTGCCACTAGGCCGAACGGCATGACGATGCAGCTGACGAGCAGGTCGGCCACGGCCAGCGACAGCAGGAAGTAGTTGGTGACGTTCTGCAGCGCCTTCTCCAGGCAGATGGCCAGGCAGACCAGCACGTTCCCCACAATGCCGGCCACAATAAACAGCAGCACTGGCAGGTAGGTCAGGTTCAGTCCGGCGGGCGCCGACGGCAAAACGTCCGTCTCCGGTCCGTCGACATCGACACCGTCAGAGAGGTTCACCGCCAGCGTCGCCATCGCCGCGAGCTGCACACGCGGCGCCGTCGGAGGCGACACTAGGGCCGGTCGGCCGCGCCGCTCCGACGCGACCCACCACCTGGGGGGAGGGGGGGGGGGCGTCACGGCGCGGCCGCGGTTCGGGGCGCAGGACGTACGCGGGACGGGGAGAGAGGGCTGGGGAAGCTTTGGAGAGAGGAGAGATGAAAATAATTGACGGTTAAACATTGCTTAACTGCAGTAAATGGTTACGAATTACAAAATTTATCATCAGGTACTTACCAACCCATTTCTTACTAATGCACGATAAATTAGTGGTTAGGTACTTACATGGACACTGATTTACGTGCATTTTAAGGTTTGTGTTTTATCCGCGTTTATTTCTATTTTAAGTTACATCATTTGTACATGCACCTGGTGTCAATAAACTCTACTACTACTACTACTAGGTAAATTTATCAGCAATTTCTTATTTTAAGTAGCTTCTAAGCTGATTACAGGAAGGTGTTTGCAGAACGTAATGAGTTACAAAAAAAAACATGACGTCAGAGTTTTTACCTTTTGTTTCCCGGTAACTTCGCCTCCAAAATTATCTATTTCCGATCATGGAATTTCTACTCTGCATGACATAAAGCTAAGCATACGAATGCGTTGTAGGTTACTTTGGTATGTAATTAGTGGAACACACTACTGAATCACTAGATTCTTATCACAGTAAGTTGATAAATTGCACTTAGAAAGACAGGACTCAGGTAGATAGACAACTTTCATCATTAAATCAGTTATCAGAACATGCAGATTTTTAACCTGTAAATTTCTTGCCACATTAATACCTATGAGGCAACATCAATTTATATGGTGATATTTACTCCGTTCCCGATGACACTTCAAGTACCCGTTTAGCTAGTCATATAATATGCTAGGGGTATCCTTACGGCTAAACGATAATCGATGAAATTGAATTTCATCTCCTCATGCAAATCATAGCGTCATTTTCACCCAGTGCAGTGATGACCCCAGAATTCTGGGAAATGAACTGGCATAACTTACGAAAACGGCTGCATTACTGCGTTACTGACACTTCGGTGACCTCATCATTGACATTCACCCGAGTTTACTTCAGCCATTGCGGTAACCCTATTAGTGGCAGGGGGGGGGGTGTTTTTATCCACCCCTCAGGTTTTTCGGGGATATCTCCGAAACCGCTGAAGCTACGATGCTGAAATTTTCTGACTTTTCCTAAAACTAAATTGGGCACATTCCCTGAAAATTTCAAGTTCATAACTTTACCAAGGGCGGCTCCAGAGCACTGGGAATTGGGGGGTCCTATTCGTGAAGCGAGTCATTTGGGCGAAGATCACGATGCTGCACCAGTTTTACGAACAGTGAATGAAAGGTATCATGTGATAACATATGCAAAGTTATTGTGCATCATCTTTTGACACGTTTTTGCTATAATAGGCGGATCCAGGCGTCCAAAAAAGGGGGTTATTTTTTACCTCCCAACAGGTGCCCTGACACCGCCTATGCATGACCAATACAATTTTAGTCGTTCTCTCATAAGAAAATTGTAACATAACAAGACCATTGCCACCCTTTTTAGAAACAGTACCAACAAAAACCTTATTTACTATACTTTTTGTGTACCCCCAATCTCAATGATCTGTATCCGCCTATGATTTTTGAAAATGCATATTTTTAGGATCCATGTGAATTCCTGGTTCATTCTCTATCGATCGGCAAAAGTTGCGTTAAGATTGGTTCAGAAACCTGGCCGTAATAAACAGACTAAAATGTATCTGCAATTTGCCCGTTTTTACCCCCCTCTACCCCCCTATTGACATTTTTAATTTTATTTTTTTTAGAAATGTAGATCTCGTTGAGCGAAATCGAATGCCGTTTGAATTTTGAAAATCGGCCCGTTAGATCTCGAGATATCAAGGGGGGGGGGGTCGTAAACAGCCCCCCCCTGCCACTAATAGGGGTAGCCAGGAGCCTGCCACTAATAGGGTTAAACGATGAACGATTGCCCGTATGACGGCATGATATGCTTATCAGTAATCATACCTAAGAATTCAATCTAAGTCATCAATCGATGTCTTATACAATTATTTTTATAACCATTAAAACAACCCATCTGTTTCGGAGACACACACCTCTCCTTCTATGCACTAAGCACAGGACGCTTGCGCAGGCCCACGTTTGCTGCAATATATGCACTTAGTCAATCAGACACCATTCTGAGAGAGCACTGCGGGGCTGCGGCCCGGGGGCGGCCGTAAACCGTTCCCAGTGTGACTCGCACACTCATTGGGCCGTCACCGTTCTCAGAAGCACCGCGTAAAAGCAGCCAATCGCCGGCGGGTAATTAACCGAGCGGTGGCGACCGAACGGCCGGATGGAAGTTCCATGTCATATCCCAGAATTATCCCCCGGGGAACAGCTGTATCAGCAGAGCAGATTTCTTTTTTGCCGCCACCCCAGAGCAGCGACGAGCAGCATCTGATGCGGACGAGGAAAGTGTGGGCCATGCGCGCAAAATTTTAATTTATTTTTAATTACTAAAACTACTGGTTGCGAGCACACGAAGCGCGAAACGAATGTTTTCAATATAATGGAAACTTCTCAGTAATGAGGTCTGTCCTGTAACACTTTTGAGAGGTTTATATCTCAGCAATCGCTGGGCCGATTGACCTGCGGTCTTTTTTGCTGGGTATTCCTTCTGGAGCATGAAGATTGAGCATATGACTCCGTTAAGAATAAAAGAAGACAACAATGTCTTTTGAAGGCTTTTACAAAGCTAAAAATTCATTCATGAAATAATATCTGGGCGTTAGGGCTCTTCCTCATGCTGGTTATTGTGCATATTCACATGCTGAGTATGGAAAAGCAGTAGCGAGTTTCACTATTGCACATCAAGAAAATGACAACCGTCGTCTTTCAAACGATACCCATTCCAACTTCCATCGAATAAACAGCGCCTCGAGAATAAGTCAGCGGCTGTAGGGTGTCCAGCCCTCACAATAACAAGGCGCCGTTTTCAGTCGTTGCGGCGCGGCCGAGGCGAGCGGGTGGACCGGTCAGATCCGGTCGCGATTGACGGCCGTTTCTGGAGTGTTTTCACGGTCGGAGCTCAGCTGACGGGGCCACACAGACAGATTCCAGACAAAACACGCCACCAGTGCGGCTCCGGTCGATCGGCCGACGCCGCCACTGACCCCTGGTGACGTCATAAGGGGTGGACCGGCCGGCGCAGCGGTCAGGGGACACTGGACGGAGGCAGAGACACGGACTGAAAAAGGAGCACGGCAGAGTCGGTGGAGTTCTGCGAACTCCCATTGATTTAGAAAATGATTTTTCATCAAAATGATTCAAAATGATTTTTCATCACATTCTGCTTGTCATGTAAGAATAGGTACATAATCCGTCGAATCAACCAAGGACGTAAATATTTCGAGCAAAATGTGCAATAGGCATGGATACATCCAACTTTGAAATTCCGGATAAGTTGCAACCCACCCGTAACAGCCTAATCGGTCCCAGAGAGTGTTGTCATCGGTCCCACAATGAAGGCTGTGTGTTACATAGAATTCCAATCTCATGCACATGATTCATCAGTTGTTGCTAGTTCAAGGTCTCTTGCATCGATGCATTCATCTCACCAAAATCGTATTCCACCTACACTATCGTCCAGTAGACTTGCGGATCTCGCCCGGCTTTTGCACATGCTCATGGAGCAGTGGCACTCCTCCCAGCTTTGTTGAGACCGGTTGAAAACAGTACTGCGCCACTGCAGTCCTCCTCTGAAGCAGTACGGTCCATTACAGCAATAGCCGCGCCATTGAGCCCCTATAGACCCAACAATAAACGTCTGGTAAACTGCCAGCTTTATGGTGTTGCGCCTCCTCTATCCTTTGTGCACCCCCTGGGAACAGCGGGGCGAAGTGGGATAATCTCACCATGGAAATACACACTCAGAGCGAAGGAAGGTTGGTGGTTAAAAGCACGCGACTCTCCCTGCGGTACATTAAGGATTAGCTGCAAGTTGGATTGTACTTATTTGTTTTATTGGCCAATAACAGTGACCAATATGATACAAGCTAGCGAAGGAGTGCTCTGAGGAACACTGTACTACAAACACACGACTTTGGGGCGCTGTTATAGCAAGGAACCACTCATTGAGACATTATGCCTTTAAATGAAAATAAAACTTTTCTGATAATCTTTGGGTTATGCTAACCGCCCCCGCTTATAACTTACGCTGAGCCGCCAGGCAACCATACATAATTCCCACCCACACTAACCGCCTGGAAACGCTCATTAACTGTTAGATTTAGTTTCATGAGACGTTTAGAGATAGGAGAGGATAATGCGCGCTTGGGAAATTAACGCGGAAATCACGTCTATTTTTAGGCTGCACTAGGGAATTTCCAGTGAGAAAAGTGTAATCAGTAGAGTTTTCTTCTTTATGTAGAGTGCTACACTTGGCACCGGTGACATGAGCGAACAGAGTATCTTGTCCGCGGAGATGACGCTGAGAAATCTAAGCCTGCCGCGGCAGTCCAGTCGGCGTCAGGGCCGCGGGTGACCGAGACCCAGTCAGTGAAGGGTCGTAGAAACTACATGACAACGTCATTGCCATGAAGATGACTAGGCGACGCAGTGATGCTCCCCAGCAGGCTCCTGCAGCCTCGCTTCCACTACCTAACGAGACTCAGTCTGTGCCAATGCAGACAAGGTCCGGCACTTCTCGTAACGACCCATGGCCTAGTCGCCAGAGCGCACCGCAGTGGCACTGCTACGCTGTAAAATGAGATTGGGCGGCAGCAAGCCCATTTAGGGACAGCTCTAGACGCTATTGTCTACACTAATTTGATGTCATTGGAGCCCCATGTAAATAAAGTCAATATCCTAAGCCCAAGGTTGATAATCTACACAAAGTCATCATGATTCATGGAGCTGTCGAACTGGCATGTAATGTCTATTCTGTGCATATTGTGTTTCTTGATGGTGCATGCATATAATACTTAAAAGCATTTAATTTCCAATTCTTACTAGTAAGCATGTGATTAGT